GGCGAGACCAAAAACGGGCGCGCCAAATCCACGCGTTGGAGCGCGTGGCAATCCTGTTTTTTGGGGTTGCGACATGACGCTCGGAACGCACACAGCTGCTTCAAAAGTTCGCCAGAAAACATGAAACCACAAAAGGCAGGAAGGATGACACAAACATCCACGTGCTGAACTGGGGAGGACCGCCTTTGGGAGCCCAAATTCTATATACCTTTCCAACCCCAAAAATGGGCATGAAACAAATCGAACAGTTCAGTGACATCATCTTGCACTTCTTGCGGTTTCTTGCGGAGTCGTCTGGAGTCGCAAAGTTGGAACTCTTTCAACCCTTTCCACATTGCAAATGGGGTTTCAGCAGGTGTACCGACTCCGCCCGACTCCGGCAAGACTCCGCAGCTAAAGACATCAAAACTTGCACAAAATTGTGGTAAAACCGAAGTTTTGCATCTCCAGCCTTCTCACGGAATCTGCTGGAGTCATGAAATCGAAACTCTTCCCCCAATGTAAACAAAGGATTCATCCGATTTTAAATACATACTATTATTCTTTAGCCGGATGATACTGAACTCCGGGCGACATACACAATCCGACCCGCGAAGTTGCCGCGTTAGGAGTCTAGGGGGGCGAAGGGGGGAGCCCAAAAACAAACAACGCATCAAGAGACCAAAACAAAACTGAGCAGTGCGACGCCCAATCGTGACAAAACGATCCAGTGCCAACGCAAACACAGAAAAAGCATCCCGCCAGCAATGTCGCAGCGGAATCAGCACCTCACCCACGCCATGTTGCGAAAGCCTGCGACAACAACACCCAAACAATTCCAAACAACATGGTGCTTTGGCAAAGACTGGCGACATGCAGGCGGGGCTAGAGACCTTCAATCAGCAAACCGTGTTCCCCGGAATCCTGCCATTCCGTTACACTTGCAAAAGTATTGCTTTTTGGTAAAGCTGCGCCATTTTTCGCGAAAAAGGTCACTGCAGCAATCTCATTTTCGAGGCTGTAAACCCATTGGCTTTTTGGACTCCAAAAAGTGGTCCTCCCCAGTTGCGTTGAAGCTTGCTGCTTGAACAAAACCCAACTTTCATTTTTTTAATTTATTTGCGTAATGTAAGAGCTTCGTGTTTCGAGCAGGTCGCAAGGTTCCACACTCCCAAAAATGGGATTGCCACGCGCTACCGCTTTTTGCTTTGGACAGGGCCATTTCGAGGCTGTTTTCAATTTCTATTTTAATAGCAGGCGAGACCAAAAACGGGCGCGCAAAATCCACGCGTTGGAGCGTGTGGCAATCCTGTTTTTGGGGTTGCGACATGACGCTCGGAACGCACCCAGCTGCTTCAAAAGTTCGCCAGAAAACATGAAACCACAAAAGGCAGGAAGGATGACACAAACATCCACGTGCTGAACTGGGGAGGACCGACTTTGGGAGTCCAAATTCTATATACCTTTCCAACCCCAAAAATGGGCATGACACAAATCGAACAGTTCAGTGACATCATCTTGCACTTCTTGCGGTTTCTTGCGGGGTCGTCTGGAGTCGCAAAGTTGGAACTCTTTCAACCCTTTCCACATTGTAAATGGGGTTTCAGCAGGTGTACCGACTCCGCCCGCCTCCGGCAAGACTCCGCAGCTAAAGACATCAAAACTGGCACAAAACTGTGGTAAAATCGAAGTTTTGCATCTCCAGCCTTCTTACGGAATCTGCTGGAGTCATGAAATCGAAACTCTTCCCCCAATGCAAACAAAGGATTCATCCGGTTTAAAATATATACTATTATTCTTTAACCGGATGATACTGAACTCCGGGCGACATACACAACCCGACCCGCAAAGTTGCCGCGTTAGGAGTCTATAAGGGGCGAAGGGGGGGGAGCCCAAAAACAAACAACGCATCAAGAGACCAAAACAAAACTGAGCAGCGCAAACGCAAACACAGAAAAACCACCCCGCCAGCACTGTCGCAGCGGAATCAGCACCTCACCCACGCCATGTTGCGAAAGCCTGCGACAACAACACCCAAACAATTCCAAACAACATGGTGCTTTGGCAAAGACTGGCGACATGCAGGCGGGGCTAGAGACCTTCAATCAGCAACCGGGTTCCCCGGAATCCTGCCATTCCGTTACACTTGCAAAAGGATTGCTTTTTGGTAAAGCTGCGCCATTTTTCGCGAAAAAGGTCACTGCAGCAATCTCATTTTCGAGGCCGTAAACCCATTGGCTTTTTGGACTCCAAAAAGTGGTCCTCCCCAGTTGCGTTGAAGCTTGCTGCTTGAACAAAATCCAACTTTCATTTTTTTAATTTATTTGCGTAATGTAAGAGCTTCGTGTTTCGAGCAGGTCGCAAGGTTCCACACTGCCAAAAATGGGATTGCCACGCGCTACCGCTTTTCGCTTGGACAGGGCCATTTCGAGGCTGTTTTCAATTTCTATTTTAATAGCAGGCGAGACCAAAAACGGGCGCGCCAAATCCACGCGTTGGAGCGTGTGGCAATCCTCTTTTTGGGGTTGCGACATGACGCTCGGAACGCACCCAGCTGCTTCAAAAGTTCGCCAGAAAACATAAAACCACAGAAGGCAGGAAGGATGACACAAACATCCACGTGCTGAACTGGGGAGGACCGCCTTTGGGAGTCCAAATTCTATATGCCTTTCCAACCCCAAAAATGGGCATGAAACAAATCGAACAGTTCAGTGACATCATCTTGCACTTCTTGCGGTTTCTTGCGGAGTCGTCTGGAGTCGCAAAGTTGGAACTCTTTCAACCCTTTCCACATTGTAAATGGGGTTTCAGCAGGTGTACCGACTCCGCCCGACTCCGGCAAGACTCCGCAGCTAAAGACATCAAAACTGGCACAAAACTGTGGTAAAACGGAAGTTCTGCATCTCCAGCCTTCTTACCGAATCTGCTGGAGTCATGAAATCGAAACTCTTCCCCCAATGCAAACAAAGGATTCATCCGGTTTTAAATATATACTATTATTCTTTAACCGGATGATACTGAACTCCGGGCGACATACAAAACCCGACCCGCAAAGTTGCCGCGTTAGGGTCTAGGGGGGCGAAGGGGGGGAGCCCAAAAACAAACAACGCATCAAGAGACCAAAACAAAACTGAGCAATGCGACGCCCAATCGTGACAAAACGATCCACTGCCAACGCAGACACAGAAAGAAGCATCCCGCAAGCAATGTGCAGCGGAATCAGCACCTCACCGACGCCATGTTGCGAAAGCCTGCGACAACAACACCCAAACAATTCCAAACAACATGGTGCTTTGGCAAGGACTGGCGACATGCAGGCGGGGCTAGAGACCTTCAATCAGCAACCGTGTTCCCCGGAATCCTGCCATTCCGTTACACTTGCAAAAGTATTGCTTTTTGGTAAAGCTGCGCCATTTTTCGCGAAAAAGGTCACTGCAGCAATCTCATTTTCAAGGCCATAAACCCATTGGCTTTTTGGACTCCAAAAAGTTGTCCTCCCCAGTTGCGTTGAAGCTTGCTGCTTGAACAAAACCCAACTTTCATTTATTTAATTTATTTGCGTAATGTAAGAGCTTCGTGTTTCGAGCAGGTCGCAAGGTTCCACACTGCCAAAAATGGGATTGCCACGCGCTACCGCTTTTCGCTTGACAGGGCCATTTCGAGGCTGTTTTCAATTTCTATTTTAATAGCAGGCGAGACCAAAAACGGGCGCGCCAAATCCACGCGTTGGAGCGCGTGGCAATCCTGTTTTTGGGGTTGCGACATGACGCTCGGAACGCACCCAGCTGCTTCAAAAGTTCGCCAGAAAACATGAAACCGCAAAAGGCAGGAAGGATGACACAAACATCCACGTGCTGAACTGTTGCGTTGAAGCTTGCTGCTTGAACAAAACCCAACTTTCATTTATTTAATTTATTTGCGTAATGTAAGAGCTTCGTGTTTCGAGCAGGTCGCAAGGTTCCACACTGCCAAAAATGGGATTGCCACGCGCTACCGCTTTTCGCTTTGGACAGGGCCATTTCGAGGCTGTTTTCAATTTCTATTTTAATAGCAGGCGAAACCAAAAACGGGCGCGCCAAATCCACGCGTTGGAGCGTGTGGCAATCCTGTTTTTGGGGTTGCGACATGACGCTCGGAACGCACCCAGCTGCTTCAAAAGTTCGCCAGAAAACATGAAACCACAAAAGGCACGAAGGATGACACAAACATCCACGTGGTGAACTGGGGAGGACCGCCTTTGGGAGTCCAAATTCTATATACCTTTCCAACCCCAAAAATGGGCATGAAACAAATCGAACAGTTCAGTGACATCATCTTGCACTTCTTGCGGTTTCTTGCGGAGTCGTCTGGAGTCGCAAAGTTGGAACTCTTAACCCTTTCCACATTGTAAATGGGGTTTCAGCAGGTGTACCGACTCCGCCCGACTCCGGCAAGACTCCGCAGCTAAAGACATCAAAACTGGCACAAAACTGTGGTAAAACTCGAAGTTTTGCATCTCCAGCCTTCTTACGGAATCTGCTGGAGTCATGAAATCGAAACTCTTCCCCCAATGTAAACAAAGGATTCATCCGGTTTTAAATATATACTATTATTCTTTAACCGGATGATACTGAACTCCGGGCGACATACACAACCCGACCCGCAAAGTTGCCGCGTTAGGAGTCTATAAGGGGCGAAGGGGGGGGAGCCCAAAAACAAACAACGCATCAAGAGACCAAAACAAAACTGAGCAGTGCAAACGCAAACACAGAAAAAGCATCCCGCCAGCAATGTCGCAGCGGAATCAGCACCTCACCCACGCCATGTTGCGAAAGCCTGCGACAACAACACCCAAACAATCCAGGA